ACCTCCGCCTTCGTTGTGCTGACATTCAGGCCGAGTTGGCCACGGCTAAGGAGCAGTCCGCTCCTCTGGTGGCCAAGATCAAGGAACTGGAGGAGGAGCGAGACTCCTTCAGGCTTCGGGCCCAAGAAGCGACGGCCTCTGCTAAGGTCTGGCAGGGCAGTGGGTGCGGAGCAGAGCGAGCATCGGGGTTCTGAAAGTCGCCTTGGCAGAGGCTACCAAGGTGGCCGAGGCCTCTCGGGTCGAGGTCTCAGCCTGGAAGAGCAAGGCCGAGGGTAAGTTCCGCTGAACCATGTTCCTTGCTCCATTTGCTCTAGTTCGCGTTTGACTCCTGACCCCTCGTCGCGACGTAGATCTGGAGAAAGAGGCCTCCCAAGCGGCTGAGGCCTCCGTCGCAGCGCAAGCAGCGCTGGATGTCGAGGTCCGGGAGCACGAGACGCCGCTGCGCCGTATTCGGACCGCTGCGAGGCTCTTGACGTCGAGGAGGTCCAATCGCCTAGCTCCCTTGGGAGCCGCTCGATTGCGTTGAGCGGCCACGTCCGCGAGAGACTCGGGGCGTTGCACACGGGTGTCAAGCGCGCCACGGCCGTCGTCTCCTCTCGCACCACGCCATCAACCTCGAGGTTTGTCGGCCGACGGCTACGTGTTGCCGAAGAGATGAGGAGGCGGATGCGGAGGTCATGAAGCTGTTGGAGGCGGCCGAGGCACCTGGCACAGCGCTGGCCCGTCTGTTTGAGGAAGAGGTGGTCCCTCCCGCGCCAGCCGCCGATCCTTGAGCTTTGACCTGGGCCAAAAGGGCCATGTAACCGGATTGAGTTAGTTGTCGATCGTGACGCTTTTTGTGGCCGTCGAGGCCTTTAAAGTATTTGCGTATGTGCGTCTTTTTAATCGTTTTCCGTTCTACTTCCGAGCACTGTGCCCTCTGTCCCGATCACAGGAACCCGCAAAGAAAACCCTCGGGACCTAAGCCGTCCTTGGCGAAGGGTGGTGAGGAGCTGCCGTAGCCCAGAGGCGTAGGCCGTTCTCACGTCTCGACCAGCCCTTTGGCCTCTGGACAAACTTTTGGTCTTTGGGTTTCTTGTGAAGGTCCCATCGGAGCGCCGAGAGAGTTTTTGGCGAGAAATTTTTGAAAGACCATTAACAAATGGTGTTCGGGACTTAGGGGTTCCCCTTTCTAGCCCCAAGGGAGGCCCGGCTTTGCGGAGGCAGCGCCGAGTCTCCCTTATAGCGCTATTGTGACGTCGAGCCCCTATTGATAGACAAGCTCTCTGTATAGAACTTCCTCGGAGCCTACGCTGTCTTTTGGGTGAAAAGGTGGTGAGGGAGTTGCCGTAGCCCGGAGGCGTAGGCCGTTTTCACGGCTCAGCCGGCCTTTTCGCCTTTGAGACGATCGTACGGTCCTTGGGTTCTATACGATCGGCTAGTCTATAAGGGGGGGTTTCTCGAAAAGTTATAACAACTAAGAACGCATTTCAATTTTATTGCATTTCGAGAAACAATGTAAGCAATTGGTCGGTACCGGAGTGTAGCGATCTCGTAGTACGGCGTCGTCGGAGCTTCTTGTACTGGCTCGTTGTTGCGTCTCCGAGAGCACCTCTTCGAGGGGCGTCTTCATGGGTCGGTTGCTTTGCTCATTTGTATGCACTGTAACCCTCGGGGAACCGTATTCTAAGTCGATGGGGAGGATGGCCTCGGCTC